ATTCAGGAGCAGAGTCTGTCCTGCTGCCCTGCTATCTGTTCTACCTGCAGAAGGATGTTACAGTAAAGTGGACAAACGAAGATGGAATAACGGTTCATGTGTATCCAAAAGGTCCCGAGGGGCCTAACAAACAGCATAAGACTTATAAAGAAAGAACAAAGATGAATGACAACCTGCTGAAATTTGGAGACCACAGTCTGACCATAAGATACCCTTCATACAGAGACAGAAACACCTACACCTGCTCCATCATCAACAGGAGAGGAGAGGAACTGATGAAGAAGCAGGTGATGCTGAATGTCAAAGGTTGGTGCTGATTTATATACCAGTAGAGATATTAACTAAAATTTACCTAAACATTTTTAAAATGACCATAACTGCAAACCTCCAGCTGATACAGTTCAACATCCTTCATAGAACGCTCTGCACAGGACAATGAATTAATTATAGATGTTCAAACTGCATGGGAGGTCCACCAGATGACTACAGGATTTCTGGTACTGCCCACCTATCTATAGCTTATGGTTTCTTTGAAGACCTATCAAACCCACAGACAGACACACTTAATCTTTCATGTACAGACACCCAAAAAGCTATACAGTAAATAGATACTCCAAATGGTTGAAGGTCATACAACAAGGGCAGGGGTCGGCAACCCGCGGCTCCAGAGCCGCATGTGACTCTTTAGCACCCCTCCTTGGAGGGAGCTTTTTCAAAAATGTATGAAAAATAGATTTTTTTTTGTGTGTGTTTATTTTAATATGGTGTGCAGGAGGTCAAACAGACATTCATTGTGTTTTCCAATGCTGTAAACATTTGTATAATAAATAAATGTAAACAATATATGTAAACATTTATTTCAACGAAAATGTGTGTCACAGCCATAAAGATCAGTGGTCAAAGCCTGCAACACACGTTTCAGCGCATCGCAGTGCCAGGCTAACAAAGCTGCAGGTGTGTCTCAGGACATGGATCCCAAAGGGAAAAAAAGGAAAACAGCTGATGAGAAAAGAGGTTTTCAAAGAAGAAGTGAATCATTTACTTTAATTACCAATGTGGATGGATTGCCTGCATTTTTGATTTGGCACAAGAATTTGTCAAATTATAAAAATAGCAATTTGGAAAGGCATTTCCAGGGAAGGCTAAATATTCAGCAGATCACAAAGTTGGGAACGAGAGAAAAAGTGCTATTGCAGAACTTCTGGATAAATTAGAGGAGAGCAAAGATAAATTTAAGAAGTGGATTCCATCTCCAAACTCCACTACTGCTGTAGTGGAGTTTGGGGAGGGATTTCATGTGGGATTTCATGGTTAGTGCGCTCTGCTGTGATGGATGTCAGTTCCTGCTTGGTTCCTCATGACTCAATCAGCTCCTCCCAACAGAAACACGTCCACCATAGAAAGATTTCTTTATCCTGTTTCTATATCATCGATGCAACAAAACATAAACCACGCGGTGAGAGTGTTCACTGCTCCTTCCTCACCTCATTCTACTATGTGACATTTGCTCCAGGATAAACATTTAATCATGAATCCTTATTATATATTTAAGCCCACGTAGTCCTTTTTTTAATAGTGGGCTAACACTTAAAGGCTGTGTTGCCATATGAGGCTGATACAAGACTTTTACATTTTTGCGGCTCCAGAGAGATTAGTTTTTTGTCTTTCTTGATCCAATATGTGTTAGGAATCCAGTTTGTGTGGGTTGTGTTTTTGTGTGTTTTCCCTCCACCACCAGGTGGCGCTTGGTTCTCGTTGGCCCTCTCACACACCTGCAGATGGTTGCCTCATTACCTGAGGACTCCTAAGCTGCTGACTGCCACTACCTCGACGCCAAAGTGTTTGCCAGTTTTGGGCACTCTAGCCAAGCTGAGTTTTGCTGAGTCAAACTGAGTTTTTGTCAACCTTAGTCTTAACCTTGTTGTTTTTTTGTCTTTTCTTGGTCTGTAAATAGTCACTCTCGCTGTCTCAGATCTGCTGTTCTCCCAGGTGTCCAACCACCAGAGTTAAGTGAGGCAGTTGCCGTTGATCTCTCCTCCGTTCCTGCCGATTACCATGACCTCTCCCAGGTATTTAGCTGATCTATAGCCTGTTCTCTGCCTCCCCACAGACCATACGACTGGGCCATTGACCTGCTTCCTGGAGCCCCTTTGCCCGGCATTCGTCTTTTCAATGTTTCTAAGCCAGAAAGGGAGGCTATGGAGAAATATATTAGGCAATTCCTGGCTACCGGCATCATCCGCCCCTCATCTTCACCTCTTGGAGCAGGATTCTTCTTTGTGGGGATGAAGGATGGTTCACTTCGGCCCTGTATAGACTACAGAGGTTTGAATCATATAACTGTAAAAAATAAATACCCATTGCCCCTGCTGTCATCTGCCTTTGAAACCTTTCAAGGTGCCACTGTCTTCACAAAACTGGACCTCAGAAATGCACACCACCTGCTCCATATAAGGGAGGGAGACAAAAGGAAAACTGCCTTCAAAACTCCCATTGGTCACTTTGAGTATTTGGTATACATTTTGGTCTAACTAACGCTCCTGCTTGCTTCCAGGTCCTGGTCAACCACATTCTAAGGGATTTTTTTGAATATTCTTGTTTTTGTATACCTTTATGATATCCTAATTTTTTCCAAGGACATCTCTGAGCACACTATCCACGTCTGCCAAGTCCTACAGTGTCTGCTTGAAAACAAGCTTTTTGTCAATGCTGAGAAATATGAGTTCCACAAACCTTCAGTTTCCTTCCTTGGATTCATCCTTGGGGTGGACAGGTAAGACCCACTGAGGAAAAAATTAAGGCTGGCCCACACCTGAGACCCGCAAGCAGCTTCAACGTTTTCTGGGCATTGCTAATTTTTACTGCAGGTTTATTCGCAACTACAGCCAAACTGCTCTACCTCTAACTGCCCTTACCTCCACTAAGGTTCCCTTTGTTTGGTCTCCTGAGGCTGAGGCAGCCTTTTTCCGTTTAAAGAGACTCTTTGCCAAGAGTACAGCCAGACCTCTCCAGACAGTTTGTGGTGGAGGTTGATGCCTCAGATTCTGGAGTCGGAGCCGTTCTCTCCCAAGTTTCTGGTACGGCTGACAAATTATACCCCTGTGCCTTTTTCTCTCACAGACTCTCTCCTGCTGAAAGAAATTACGACGTCGGTGATTGTGAGCTTTTAGGCATAAAGTTGGCCCTGGAAGAATGGAGACACTGGCTAGAGGAAGCAACTCATCCGGTTCAGGTTTGGACAGATCACAAGAACCTTTCATATATCCAATCAACCAAGAGACTCAACCCCCGCCAATCCCACTGGTCACTATTTTTCTCTCGGTTTAACCTTTCTATTTCCTTCCGCCCTGGCTCTTGGAACGTCAATCCGGATGCCCTCTCACGGCAGTTTGCCCTGGACGAATCTAAAGAGTCTGCTGCTCCCATCCTGCCTCCAAGCTGCTCAGTTTCCACAGGATTCCACAGGACATACTATCTGACCGCAGCTGCAGTTCATCTCTCAGGTATGGAAAGTTTTTGTTTGGCTCTAGGGGCCAAGGTCTCTCTCACTTCCGGTTACCACCCCCGATCCAATGCCCAGGTGGAATGTATGAATCAAGAGTTGGAGGCTATTCTCAGATGTCTCTCTGCTTCTGATCCCTCTGAGTGGAGTCAGTTCCTCCCGTGGGTTGAATATGCCCATAACACAAGTATCTCCTCTGCTACTGGACTATCCCCATTCGAGACTTCGATTGGGTACCACCCACCCCTTTTTCCAACCGAAGAGGCAGCCATTGCCGTACCATCTGTTCAGCACCACACCCGCCGTTGCCAGACCTTCTGGAACCGGGCCTTGACAGCTCTGGGAAGGACCTACGAGCAAATCTAGAGATGGGCTAACTGCAGGAGGAGGGTTGCCCCATCCTATCGCCATGGCCAGAAGGTCTGGCTCTCAACACGTGACATACCCCTCAAGTCAATGTCTAGAAAGATGTTCCCGAGATTCATTGGTCCATGTGAGGTGGAGAGGACCATAGGGGAATCTGCCACCGTCTCCGTCTCCCCTCCTCTCTCCGCATTCACCCCAACTTCCACGTGTCTCATCCAGCCCCTTGTGCCCACCCGCTGAGCCCCCTCCCCCCTTGGACATTGATGGCCACCCTGCCTACACCGTCCGCCGTATTGTGGATGCTCGTTCTCGTGGGCTTGGGTGGCAATACCTCGTCGATTGGGAGGCTTACGGTCCTGAGGATCATTCCTGGGTCCCTGGATCATTTATTTTGGACCCCTTCCTCATTAGGGACTTCCGCCTCTCTCAGCCCTCTGGCTCTTCTGGACCGCCGGGTGGCTGTCGTTGAGGGGGGGTACTGTTAGGAATCCAGTTTGTGTGGGTTGTGTTTTTGTGTGTTTTCCCTCCACCACCAGGTGGCGCCTGGTTCTCGTTGGCCCTCTTACACACCTGCAGATGGTTGCCTCATTACCTGAGGACTCCTAAGCTGCTGACTGCCACTACCTCGACGCCAAAGCCAAGCTGAGTTTTGCTGAGTCAAACTGAGTTTTTGTCAACCTGAGTCTTAACCTTGTTGTTTTTTTTTCTTTGCCTCTGGGCAGGAAGTCCTCCTGCAAACTGGATGTTTTTGACCTTCTCCCCCTGGAAGGATTGTCTGAGCTTCAAACTGAGCAGAGGATTCATCTCCACAAGAAACCGTTCAAGTACCATAGGAAATCTAAGTGGCAGTCAGCTCCTCCGTTCCTCAAGGAAACACCTCAACCTGGGTAAACCCTGTCCGCCCTCCAGAGCAAGTCAATTACTGGAACAACCCACACCTAATGAATTCAGAGAAAGACACCTTTTCTGGAAATGTGAGTCCTGTTGCCTTTATTCCCTTTTGCAAATCAAAGCTCAAATTTCCCACTGAGCTTGAGCTAACCACAGGAACTTCCCCTTCACTTTTCAGTCCCGGTTCGCCAGTGTTCAGAGCAGCACTGGACCCATCTCTACCAGTTCTCAGTAAAGCTGTTAAACCTTCCCCTGGTCTCTCTGTTTGGTTTTCTGCATGTGGGTCAGATCTTTGAATAAAATCATGACAATATGGCTCTTTCAGCAGTTTGGGTTGCCGACCCCTGGACTAGGGTGAACTTTAATATCAGTTAAACAGAAGAAACAATAACCACCGGGCAGGGGCGGATCTAGAAAAATATTTATGGGATGGCAAAAGGGGGGCAGGAATTTTTGAGGGGTGGCAACATATGGCATTTGTTTACGCTGAATTTAATCGCAGTTATCACAGTTTGGTGAGAATATTATGTACAATAAGTGTTTCATGTGAAGCAGTTTATATTAGAAATGCATCGTACAAT